CTATGTATGTATACACACGTGCACACACATACATGCACACAAGCATGCATGCACACATACACATTCAGCCAAGTGTACAAACATACATGTGTACACACAGCTCTACCTCCACCTCAGAGCCCTGTATGTGCCTGGGCTCTCCCTGAATATCCCCCATGCATCCTGCTCTGCCATCCTTCAAACCCCTCCTCTAGGGCCCTTTCTTGCCTGGCGATGCCTGCCTTAGGGTGCAGCCTCATTGCCCCTCAAAGGCCATCTGCACCAGGGGCCTGACTGGCCCTGCTCATTTGCTTCTTTGCAAAGGCTCATAGGACTTCTTTCTCATGTGCCTCCATTCACACCATTCAAGGGTTTTTCTGGAAGGACTTACACATTATCCCAAGACCCCACCCCATCCGCACCACACCAGGAAACCTTTCTTTCCTCAGACTTGCCGAAGGGCCTGGGATCCTATAGGGACATGGGGCACCCTGACTGGGCCTTGGGAATCCAAAACTCTGCTTAGGACTAGAGGCCTCTGGTGCTTAAGCCCCAACCCCACTGATGGGGGCCTCACCATGGCCTTGTCCTCCAGTCTTCTTTCATCATTCATCAGAGTCCTGAGGAAGTGATATGGCAAGTTTGTGTGTGGCGCAGGAAATTTAGCCACATGTCAGGGGAGTGGAGGGGGAGACTTTTATTTTTTGGCACCTTTTCTAGTTTTGCTTTGTTAATTTTTAAATCATGCACAAGTTCACATAAATACATTTCATTAAGAGAAACAGAGAAGTCCACCTCCAGTCTCTCACAAACCCCCTCCGCAGAGGGAATCCCTATCAACAGTTTCAAGGGAGTTTTCTTTTCAACAAGAATTTACTATCTTTGCATTTTAAAAATAACCAATAATGCACAGGAACATTTGGAGCTTCTTACCCTGGGAGGCTGTACAGGCTGGCTCTAGGTTCCTGGTTTTAGCAAATTCATGGTGATGGGCAGGGCATGATGGCAAAAGAACCAGCCCTTTGAGTGGGAAAGAGGGGGGGGAAGACTGGGTGAATAGGCCTGCCAGAGCTGACCACATCCTCGGGTCTGGGAGAAAAAGAACCCCTTAGGATAGCTGGAGGCTGACTATTGTCTCTGCGATCTGCTGACATGTCAGTGGACATACACAAGGCATGGGAGAAAGTGTCAGTGTTGGGAGGGAGTAGCACCTGCAAACCATAAAACTTCATGTGGTAGGTGTCTCTGCAGTTGCACGGAGTATGAACTAAAAGATGAAGGTCACCACATTGGTGCAAATCTGTGTGTGCTGCTGTTTGTGTGTGTAGTAACTGGACCTGCAGGTCAGTGGGCAGCTAGTGTGCACAGCTGTGTGTGTGTCTGTGTGAGAACCCTCTTCCCTGCACCCCCCACCCCACCCAAAGGCCCCTCCATCGGGAGCACATTACCCGGGAAGGGAGGACGGCTGGGTGTTGCACTATGCATCCTGTGCCCTTTGAAAGCACTGTCTAGAATGCTTAATACATTTACTGGGCAGGGACCAGGAAGCCAGCGTCCCAGTGCATGAAGGCCATGCAGTCTAGTTGGAGAAGCAAAAGTTAACAAGACTCACGACATATAATTCATAATGGGGAGGTTGTAATCGCTGTGCAAAGGGCATTTGGGAGAGCGAGAAATTAATTCCAACTAAGGGGTTCAGGAAAAACATAGTTTTGAGCTAGGCCTTAAAGGATGGGAAGAATTTTCTCTGCTGTGATATGGAGGGTCCATCAGAAATAAAAGATTGTGTGAGCAAAGATTTGAGGAGAAGCTGGGCAGGGAGTGTCCAGAAATGATCAGTCTTCTGGTGTGGCTAGAAGCAAGGGCAGATGGCAAGGGAGGAGTTCAAAGATTGGGCTGGAAGGACCAGCTGGGATCTTGACTGCCATACTGAGAATCTTAGGCTTTGATCTAGAGCCAATTACTATTTTTGAGCAGGAAACTCAGGATGTTGTCTGTTAATAGGCAGGAGTATGGGAGGGAGCGTGAATGGCAGTTGAGAAAGTCCAAAGGCAAGTTGAGTGGATAAGGGGACTTTTCACACAGTGTCTTGACAGAAATAGTGCACCTGAGATGAGGTGAGGTCCAAGAAAAGCTCCCATCGTGGGGGGAGAGCAGACTGGATGGGACCAAGAACACAAGTGATGGGCGACGGTGACCAGGGAAACAAGGGGGAGGAGGCACAGGGGAGGGAGGTCATGGGGCTGCAGTCAGTGGGTTGTGGTCTCCACCTGGTTAAGAAAGAGGGAGAAATCGAGGTCTGGTTTCTGGGGAGACCAGTAATGCTACTAGTTGGAAGATGATGGAGATATGATGTGTTGGGGAAAAGATGAGATATGGCCAGGTCAAGCATGTGAGTTGACCAGCAAGCTATTGAAACAAACAGGACTAAGGCTTAGGAGAAAGGTCAGAGCTAGAGATTCAGACTTGTGAGATGGGTACACAAATGTTGTGGTTGAAATCATGGGAGCAGATGGGTCACCCAATGGGGCAAGATGCAAAAATGCCCACGGGGGACTGTAGTTGAGGCAGGAGGAAGAGGCGGTGACCTCCAGGGTATGTGCTCACNTCTTAACCATCGCGCCACTCGACCGGCTCCAACAATGGCTAATTCTTGGTTGTCATCTTACTTGACCACATCAACACAACTGGTCCCTCCCTTTTCAGGGAAACATTTTCTTTATTTGACTTCCAGGACACCACCCTCTCCTGCTGTTCCTCCTTCCTCACTGGCTGCTCTTCCAGCCTCTTTTTTCTGTTTCCTCCTCATCTGCCCAACCTCTCTCTATGGGAGCATCCCAAGGCTCAGATCTTGAACATCACTCCATGCTCGCTCCTTTGGTGACCCAGTCCTATGCCTCTCAAAGATGCTGGTGCCTCCCACATTTATGTGTCCAGTCTCTCCTCTGAATTTCAGGCTCAGGTATCCAACCACTTGCTTGACATCTCCACTTAGTATGTCCAAGCCCAATTCCTGATCCCCACCTCCACCCTGCACTTCCTAACCTGCACTTCTTGTCTTTCTCAGCCAATAACAGCACCTGCATTTTTCCAGTTGTTTGGGCCCAAAACAGCATCATCCTGGACTGTTCCTCACACTCCCCATCCGATCTATAAACAAACCTTGTTGGCTTCACCTTCAAAATATTTCCTATACCTGCCCATTCTCACCACTTCCACTGCCTCCATCCCGGTCCAGGCTACCATTATCTCTTGCCTGGGCTGCTACAATGTCCTCCTTACTGACTATCTGCTTCTACTCTCGGCTTGCCCCTACCCCTATTTATTCTCAATACAAGAGTCAAAGTGATCCCTTTATACCAACTCGTTTCATGTCACTGCTTGGCGCTGCCCATGCCCTTCGTTCTCGCCTGGCCAGACCCCCTTGCGCAGTTGCCCTTCCTCAATGCTCCAGACAAGCTTGCACCCCCAGCTTTTTGCTCTGTCCAAAGTGTCCTTTCCCTGGTAGCAGCGTGTTGTGCTCTGTCTCTTCCGGTCTGGGCTCGAATGTCCTCCTCTCCCTGTGGCCTTCACCGCTGCACTGCCTCTTCCCACCAGAATCCCACCAAGGGAGGGGATTTTCTTTGTCTTGTTCACTGATGCATTAGCCTGGCACAAGGCCGTTGTTCACAAAATATTTGTTAAAAGAATGAATGAATAAGCCTCCTTTTCTTGAATGAGAGTGAAGAGTTTCTAGGGTGAGATGAGGTCTGGAGCCAAAACAAATGATCTTTAAAAATCAGAACAACTTTGCAGGTAAGTCCAAGCAGCTGCCAGTTGCCTCCCGTTTTCACTGCATTTTCCAGTCTTATTCATGCCTGACACACCTTCATCCTGTGACTGTGAGCCTTGCATGTGAGTCTTCCCTGAATGCTTAGGCTCATTGGATCGCCTCAGGTCCCTGGGCTGGTGCAATCTCCCTGGTTCAAGTTGAACGTTAGACAGTGACGTTTACTGAGTCACTGCTGTGTGCCAGGCACTCTCCATTCTTACCTAATTTAGCTGTAGGAGTTATTGCCTCTCCTGGGACCTGGATCAGAGAATCCTAGAACATTAGAGATGATCACCGGTGAGCCCTGTCTGTTCAGGAGTCTGACTTGTGAATGCAGTGACTCCATCCTCCAAACCAAATATTTCCACTCTGAGGCCTGACCTGCCTTCTTGAAGTTTGTTCATTTCTATACAAGAAAAGTTTCGCAAAAGTAGAATTACAAAGACCGTTTAGATGTGCATTTTACAATTCTTTTTGTGAAGGGATCAAGTGGTACAAAATGTAAACACTCCTAGGCACTCTGGGCTATTCTGCCATCACGGCCCTGGGTGTGAGGACGCTGTTTTCTTATAGGATGGGACTGCATGCTGTCTCAGGGCAACCCTCCCGCCTTGACCAGTTACAGCCTGGCGCTGGGCACTTGGCCTGATGTGCACTCAGTGCCCCTCCCCCAGCTCCCTAGCAGGCTCTTGTGTTTTGCAAAGTGAGAGAGGTTCCTCATGTCTGACCCAGATATCCCTCTGTTCATCAGAGAGTCTGTCAGGATGGCTGTCTCACTGAGCAACCTGAATGTGGCGGAAAAGACACAGAACATGTCAGCGCATGACTGCTTCCAATCTCGTAGCACTGTCCTGAAGGGACAGCCCTTTGGGGGTGTCCCCACTGTGCTGCTTATCAATATCATCTTGTGGTTGGTGAGTCCTGGGCACTATGGTGGGCAGACCATGAGGTCTCAGATGGGGTAGATAGTCAAACTTTCACAAGTGATGAAACAGGGGCCCCAGCTGTTCAAATGGACACCAGTCACAGTGCCGGGGACTCCCTGAATGACAGTCCCGTGTAGGATGGCCCTGTGTGGGTGGGCCTTGGGGAGGAGGGGGCTGGAAGAACAGGTAGAGTTCCTAAGATTCTCTTTCATGCACCATTGTCCAAAGGCCTGCCTGGCCAGTGCCCTTGGGCCTCCCTTCTCTCTACCCTTGCTGATTTCTTCAAGGGGTATCTTGTCCGATAGTTCCAAACATGCCACCAGCTCCTTCAATCAACAGACTCTGAACATCCACTCTGTGTCAGGAAGCTGCTGGCCACAGGGAATCCAGAGTTGAAAAAGGCGTGGTCCTTACTCTGACAGAGCTGGCCACCTAGTGGGGGAGCCCCTGGGGACCTCAGGGACAGGGTGTCTTCCAGGGGAATGCAGAGGCAGCTGAGGGGAAGGCGTCATGAGCTCTCTCGCCCCATATTGCCTCTCCTGGCCTGTAGCTCATCGTTTTGGTTTACTCCTTCCTCCGGAAAGCCGCGTGGGACTATGGGCGCCTGGCTCTGCTGATCCACAATGACAGGTGAGGAGAGGCTGGGGGGTCAGGATGAAAGCTGTTTGCTTCCTTGGGGGATGTGCTGCAACCAGAACATAGCTCTGACCAGTGCCCAAGCTGTAGCAGATGTCGCTTCAGCAGGTGGCACCTCATTACCCATCCCTGCCCCTGCTCTGGCCCTCCCTACACAAAGGTGACTTGGAGGGCAGCCATCTCTGGGCATGAGGCCACTTTTTTCTCAGACCTCAGACTTTCTGAATCCCATGACTCCCAAGATGCGTTGGGCACCTGGCAACAGGGGTAATTACAGTCTGTACCCAGAGCTGTGTGCTTAGCAAATGAGCTGAGGTGTCTCTGCTACTGGCCAGGACATGACTTCAGCCCTCAGCCCAGGGAGCAGGGGAGAGAGCCAGGCAGGCACCTGAGGCCGTTTCCCTCCTTTTCCTCCTCCCCTCCACTTTTCCTTCCCGGCAGTCTGACCTCGCTGATCTATGGGGAGCAGAGTGAGAAGACGTCTCCCTCAGATATTTCCCTGGAGATGGAGCACAAGGACAAGGTGAGCGCCGGGCAGGCCCGGGCCGGGATGGGGAGGGCGTCCTGGCTCTGGGCAGGCAGCCCTGGTGTGTGCAGGTAGGAGCTTGTTCGTGATTAGGGGCTTCGTGGTCAGCCAGATCCTTCCAGCAACGTGACATGGACACATTCCTCAGCCTTAGCAAGCCTCAGTTTTCCCACCATAAATATAGAACTATTAACCGTACTTATCTCCTAGGTGCCAAGGAAGTTTTAGCTAATTCTAATATCTTAAAGGGCTTTAAAAACTAATTTGTCTACTCTTCCCAAATCTCCAACGCTTCTCACAGCCCCAGTGCTGCCCCAAACTCCCACTGAGCCAGGGACTCACCTTCCTCTTCACCCTGAAGATTCGACGCGTCAGGCAGGGACTCCCTCAGCCTCCTGCCCCCAGTCTGCCCTACGGAGCCCGATCTCCTCCTGCCGTCTCTTTCCTGTCGAATGCCAATCCTCCACCGGAGCTTGTTCTCATTCATCCAGCCAATTGCTATGGAGCACCTGCTGTGTGCCAGCCACGGGCCTGGGGACCGGGCACTGGGTAGTGACTAAAACTAACGAAGTCCTGCCTCGTGGCACTTTCTTCCTGGGTGAGAGACACCCAGACAGATGCATATAGGACAGTGGTAAGTGCGTGAAGGAAAAAAGGGGGCAAGGAAGGCACTCAGCAGCAATGGAACAGAGCTGAAGCATTACAGACAGTGGTCAGGGATGGTCTTCGGCGTAAGAGGACATCTTAGCAGGGACCTGAATGCAGAGAGGGAAGGAGCCGTGAGAGCTTCCCTTTCCCACCAAGCCCCCCACGACTGCCAGTGTACCTCTGCCTTGTCACAGCTGATCTGAAAGAGCTGTGGTCTGTGCTTGCTGTCTTTGTTTTCTCACGTCCCTCTCACTCAACCCCCTCGAATGTGGCATCCACCCCCATCATTCCATATGTGGTCAATATCTCCAGACAGCCCCCAAGGTCATCAGTAGTCTCGTGCCATGAAATCCAGTGGACTTTCCTCAGTTCTCATCGCATCTGATCTCTCAGAAGCAGCTGACCCTGCAGACCCTCTTCCCCTCTTGAACAGGCACTTTCCAGTTGCTTCTGTTGACATCACACTCCCTGGGCATTCCTTCTACCTCTCTGTTCCTCCCCTGTCGCCTTTGCAGGCTCCTCCCCCACACCTGGAGTCCCCCACAGCTGATCCCAGACACTCCCACTCTCCGTTACCTCTTTCCCTGGCAATGTCATCCACACACACGTGACTTCAATTGCCACCTCTACACTGATCCCTCCCAAGTTTCCATCTGCAGCTAAACCTTCCTCTGGCTCCAGCCCCATTTACCCAATGGCCTTCAAAATATCTCCACATGGATATTATAAAGGCATTTCAGATTTAATATGTCCCAAACATGCCATGATCTCCCTCCACTTCTACCTGTCCCTAGATCCCTGCTCTCGAACGCTTCCCACCATCCACCAGATGTACCTCCCTTGCTCTTGCCCAGGCCCCTGGGTATGCCAGTTCATGACCAAGTTGGGTTGCTCTTACCATCTCAGTTTTGTTTCTCTCCACCTCTCCCACCATCCCCCAGTCCAGGCCTCCATCAGTCTTGCTTGGAAGACTGCAGTAGCCTCTAACTCTTCTCTTTAAGTCCACACTTGCCCCCTACCCCAGAGTGATCTGCATGAACACAGACACCCATTCTCCTGCATAAACCTTCAGTGGCTCCCTGACGCTCTTGGGATAAATTGCAGACACCTTGGTCTCGTGGTTTGGCCTCTTGCCCACCTGACAATCTATCTAGCTGCTCAGAATCCTCCACCCCTGACCCATTGGCCATCTTTTAGACCCTCAAAAGTGCCGCTTCCTCCCTCCGCAAGGCCTTTCCCCTGCCCTTCCTTCTCCCCCTTCCCCACTGGCCCCTCTCTGAAAGAAACACATCTGCCCTGTGTTCAGATTCCAGCTCAAGCGCCACTTCCCTGGCACAGGGAGGGGGACTTGGAAGGTGGGCCATATGTGGCAGAGAACAAGGAACTTCCTCCTGTTTCTTGTTTGCCTGCGCTCATTGCTTCCTCGGGAGAAGTACCCCTTCCCCAGTTCTTGTGGTTCCAGGGGACCGCCAACCAACTGGGCCTCCCTGGCTCACTGATGTGCTCGTGGGGGCCAATCAAGAACTGCCACCTTCTCCAAGGTTTTGTTAAACCCTCTGGGGATCCCAGAAGGACGTACACACCAGAGTAACAACCAGCTACTGGATCTGTCAGCTTTTAGAGCCATGGGCCCCAGCCCCCCCTCATACACACTCTTCCTAATCTGACTCCCTCTCTAGGCCCTCCCAGCCTTCCCAAGGCTGAGGTCACCTTTCCCCACCCCGCAGGAACTCCAGACAGCAAGACCCCAAAAGAAAGGCATTATCAACAGGACCCTCAGATATAAGAAAAACAAAAAGCCCTCAAACTAGTGTTACAAAACGGTAATGTGTGGCTTGAGTGTGGGGAAATCCAAGAGAAGCAGCTGCCTCAGGTACAGCTGATCCAGGAAGCCCAGCGTTGCCACCAGGATTCCCTCTCTTGTCCTCTCTCTTCTGAGCTGGCTTTTTTTCTCAGACAAGTTTCTGCATGTGGCATCAAAGATGGCACCAAGCCACTCCATGCTTCATGGTGTTGACCAAGGTGCAGAAACTCAGAGGCAGAGACTCTCTCTTCTAACACCCATATCAATCCCCCCTTAAGAGAATTTCGATTGGCTCTCATTGGTCACCTGACCATTCGTGGCAGATGCCTACTTGATGGACAGCCCACTGGGCCACATGCATGTAGGAGTGCCATTTTCCCAGAAGGAAGCAATGAGGGACAGATAGAAAGCAACTGATGTCCACGCCAAAAAGAGTCCCTTCTCTCCCTCCAGCCCAAGTCCCTATTTCCTGTAACAGGATGCCAAATGGCAGGACTGTCAGCTCACTCCCTCAGCAATCACCCCTGATTCCAGATCAATCTAGCTTCCTTCCAGGACCCAGGCTCTTTCTTGATGTCTCTTGCCTGGGCAGGAGACCCCCAGTGGACACTGCCTCATGCTGCCTCACTCGGCCTTGCTGCCTCGGACCCAAGGGCTGCCTGAGTTCCCAGAGGTGGGCAGGGCAGGCCGGGGCCTGGATTTTCTCATGCTTTCTCTCCTTCTTTCCCCAGGGCTTCTATTCCTGGTTCTTCAACACCATCACCATGAAGTAAGTGCTTCAGCTTTCTGAGCTTGTGCTAGCAGCATTTCCTTATTTGGGGGAGGGGAGTGGGGCGTAGTATCCTGGCCTGAATGACTGGGCCTGGGTCTCAGTTCTGTATCCTCTCTGACTACCTCAACCCGGCCTGGGCAGAGGATGCTTCCTGGGGTTACAGTTGGTGACATGGGAACTGAACATAACCCACAGCCCATTTTATCTCTGTCACAGCCCTCAGGAAAGGACCACTTTCATATACTTATAAAAATGCTTTTGTGAACCCCATACCAGGAAAAAGAAATCCTCCTTGCATGCTATTTACTTTATTCTTGTGAACATCATTCATCATATTTGTCAAAATGGAAAAAAACCAACACTGGACAGAAGGGCACGTTTCCTCTCTCAGCCTCAGCACCCAATTACAGAGGGATAGCCCCTTTGCTCATCCCACCTTCTGGATCTCTTTAGTGCCAGACCCCACTTGGCAAGGAGATGGCCCCTAAGTCACCTGTTTTGTCCTGATTCCCCAAGACCAGCCAAATGCTTCAGCTGAGCAGACAC